TGCTCTCATATATGTTTACAGTACTTACTGGCAGTTGACATTGGAAAAAAACCCCATACTTCTAGATTTGTATTTGTTAAAAAGAGGAAAGTTTTTACTGAAATAATTGTCTCTTTTTTCACAGGAAAGAAATCAGTAGTTTTTTACTGGACTGAGTCTTGTGTAAGTGCAGCCTGTTGGCTGACTAGCTGGGGTCATGGTTACAACTCTGTTGCACTCCTACACTGCAAATTCTTAAAGCAGAAGTTTTTAACATTTAAACAGTCATAATTGTAACTGTAAATATCCTGTCTTCTTCCTTTCCCTTTAAATCACCTTCATCCTGGTATCTCATTCCAATTTCAACAGGATTTCAGGAGAGAGCGGCTGAGCACTACTTTGTCTTTTACAGCCTTTAAGACAAAGATTTTAGAAGTTTTTATAAGATTAAAGATTTGTAGGGCTAAGTAGTGGATTTGAAATACCTAGTTCCAATGAACAAGATTTGAGGCAGTAATTTCCCAGAAGATGGCTTGGAAATGCCCTCCATGTGACAAAGAATCACCCCCATCCCCCCCCAAAACCTGGGAGACTCACACGGATGAGGTTCACGTATCCCCAGTCCACCTCTACACTGCCCCTGCAGGAGTCAAGATCGCAAGAATTCCTACGTGGTGTTGGAAGGTAAATTTCACACGGTGGAACTGGAAAGAACTTCAGATCATACCATGAGATTTGGATTATTTTAATTTTGTGGGGTTTTGTTTCTACTGAGATCTATTAATTTGAACATTTGACTAGACTGGAGGAAAAAAAAATATTTTTAAAAATAGACTCAAATTAGCTCATGGATGACTTCTATCTTCTTTTCCAATGATATTTGCTCTTTGAAGACTTGGGAGTCTGTTTCATGTTTAGCAAAGTGAAAGCTATTCTATTACTGAATTCAAAGTCCTTGTAAGTAATTTAAGAAGGTGAGCAACAGTTTTCTTCAAATGGTCAGGGATTGCATGGTCTTGCCTGTGAAATTTCTCTGGAGAAAATGTCACTTCCTGCAAACTTGTCCTAAATTTCTACCATTTCATTCTGCCAAGGGCAGGACAAGATTGCCCACAGGACCCTCCTCCTGCTGCAGGGCTATTAGTTGCTGTCACCCCTGCAGCCTAGGCAGAGCACTGGAATAGAATTCTTTGCTCCAAAGTAGCCCTAAATCAAGCTTTGTACAGCAGACAGGAGGTATTCACATCCGGCATTTTGGTTTGAGGCCCATTCTGAATACAAAGATTTTTCTTTAAAATACAGTATTTGAATTTAGTAGTGACCAGTACATATTGAAAATGACTATGCCAGTTTGCAATACCCTCCCTGTACTGTATCATCAGAGAAGAAGTGCCCAGGAAACAAAATTCTGAGCTATATTCAGTTCTGGTGTTAGCTCTTGCATTCTCATTTTATATGATTATTTATTTTGCAGCTCAGAGTACAAGCCTAATCAGAACTCCCTATCCTCACTGCTTATATAACAACTTTCTCTGCTCCCCCTCTCCTTCTGTAAGCTATACTCTGGAAAAAAAAAAAAAAAAAAAAAAAAAAAAAGAAAATTAGAGGGTACAAATATTGTCCCGAAAATGCAAGTTGCCTGATCTTTGCTACCTTTTAAAGGATATGTGTCTCTGGGAAATCACACTTCTAGTCAGGGCAAGTAAATAGGAGTTTAGGGCATGCAATTCTGTCTGATGGCACTAAGTCTGCCTTTTGGCTTAGTTAAATCAACATTAAATGTGTTTGGCACAGTATTTGTTGTGATTTTCTCTCCTCTTCCTTGCTATTGAGACCCAGTGCCTCTATGCATCTGTTTTTAAAGAGCTATTGGGTGATTTTTCCAATTTTTTCAGCTCTCAAAGTTAGATCACTGAAGCTATATTCCTTGGATGAATTTAATGCATACGAAGTGTTAACTACCTTCTTGATCAGGTCTTCTGTATGGGTGAATATTTTTGTCAAGGGATCTCCTTCTGTTGTAATGCAGCATTTCAGGTGGGTGCTGGGAGGTGGCCAGTTGTCTTTTGTGAAGTAACCAGAGGTGTCAAAAAAGAGAAATTCAGGCTAGTCTGAAAACAGCCTGCATTCTCAGTAGCAAATATGAGACAAATAAAGGTCAATTGTCTGCTTTCTTGTGAAAGGTCTTAATAAGAATATAGAAATTCAGTCAGTGAAGTGTTGACAGAGCCCCTGGTGTCAGCAAACTGGGGAGGTTTATACAGCGTGGCTCAGTCACTCTTGATCTCTCATGTTAGAGATAGAGAACTTATAGTTTTGCAAGAGTCCTAGGAGATTATGTGAATCTCAGCAAATTAAAACATCCAGTAAATTAGCCCTAACTACTGCTTTCAGAGGCTGATTCCTTCTCCTCCCTCTTGTCTCCCTCTGACAAAACCAACATGGTCAAATTTATGACTTGTAGCTGGAGGCCCTATTTTAAATTTAGAGCCATAGGAAGCCATTTAAACCTTTAGCACAAGAAAAACTGGCTGACAGAGTCATGGGTTTATAGGGCAGCATCAGAGCTAGCACACAAAGTATCCAGCTTTTCAAATGGCTCATTCACAAAAATCTGTGTACTGCTTTCTGGAGGGAGTCAAATCCTATTTGCCTTTTGGGAGTTGTCACATTGAAGCCAATTGGATTACTCATTTGTTTGAGGCAAGCAGGATTTAACCCTCCAAGAAACCAAATGGATTTGCTAAATGAAAGGGATTAGTTTTTTCTATGTAATACCGTGACAACAAAATAAAAAACTATAAAAAGAAAACAAAAGGTATCTCTCCTCATTCTTTTTTTCTTTTTTTTTTTTTTGGCCCAGTATGAAGCAAGAAGTAGAAGAGGACTCATCTGTGCCCTATGCATCTTAATTTTAGTTAATCAACATCTTGATTTTGTTTAAATCGCCATGCAAGTGCCAGCATACGCTTTTCAGGATGTAGGTCATAACAAGCTAAATTGGTTTTGGAGGTTGGAGCTCCTCTCTTGTGTTTGAGACAGGGTATACTGTTTGGTCTTAGGCCCAGAGTAATCTGTAGTGGATTTAAAGTTGGACATAGTTTCTGATCTGTCAGTGCTAGAGGCTGGCAAACCAGCTGCTGGTACTTGCCATTCGTGGGATATGCTGATACTGGAAAATAGGCTGCCTATGATGATGGCTTACAACATAACAGATCCAGTCTTTGACCCTTTCTTGAAAGTGACATAAAGTTTACATTCTAGTATTAGTCTGAGTTAGCACTGCATTTGGATTCATTCAGCACAGAAGGAAAAAGTGAATATGCAACAGATCCTTTTGTACTGGGGGAAATTTAATCTCCTGAATCAGCACACACAGAGAGAGGAATGGTGCTGGTCTATAAATGAACAGCCTCTGCATGCCTGGAGTTAAAGATTTTGCAGCCACACTGTACTACAACTCTCAGCTTTTGTCATCTTTCCCAGACACCCAAGACTGAAGTCAATGAGCATTCCTAGAATTCCATGGTATTCCTGGGAGATGCATATGCTTCCAGATGCATCCTGTATCATGGTCAGTGAGTACTGGGCATCCACTCATGAGCTCTGCTGCAGCACCAGCAGTCCCAGATTTGATAAGCTGGGTTCTCACAGGTGCTAGGAGACAGATCTAGTCCTTCCCCTCTCTGCTTTTACAGGAGCAGGGAGTGGCAGTTTCTCAACAGCAAGCCTCGTGGGCAGGGTGGTACCATCGAAGCTGAAAGTAACCACCACATTTAGACTGTGGTCTGCCTGGTGATCTCTGCATTTATACCCTTATGTGGCTCAATTATTCCTTTCTTTGCTAGACCTGTTCTACTGCAAAACTTTTTCTCTTAGCATTTACAGTCTGTTTGGAAATCTTGAAACCCCAACTATAAATGTGGAGCAGCATCTGTATCACATGTAATGAAATATGGGATAGGAATAAGCCTTTACAGCAAATTGAAATTCATGCTTCTTCTCAAGACAAGGGGAAATATCCAAATGAGTGAGATGAGAACCTGGCAGAATTATAAAGACTTCTGTTTGGAAGATCCCATACATATAAAAAATCCATATCCTCCATCAATTTACGTAACAGCAGTTAGGCAGAGAGAGGAACAGTCTGCAGCCTTTCAATATGAATGTTTCTGAATATGATCAGTAGGAATCTATTACTGATTGCAGTGCTATCTTTGAATTAATTTTTATTCCTCCCCCATTTAAGGGAGACCCAAAAGAGCAGCTGCTTCACAGTGGACAGTGACTTCCATCAATGCTAAAAATTTCTGAGTGTTGTATCAGTTCATACCAAGTCCAAGATTCAACACAGGAGGCAGCTTATATGGGGGAGAGATTTATAAGCACATTAGTTCTCTACATAAATCCATGTCCCTCCTCAAAAACAGCTGTGAGATCCACAGACTCAGGATAACTGTAAGACACAGAGGGTAGAAGATTTATTATTTCTTTTAAAACTTCAGCAATTATGCTATTCATCTGCCAAATGACAGATCTCTTGGTGGCAAGGATTTCATGTTCAATCAGACTGCTATTTAAAGTAGCCTGAAAAGTTTGCAGACTGCTATGTAAATAAGAGAAGGAGAGAAAAGTTTGCTCAGTAGCAGCCGTAACCCATGAAAAGCAGAACAAATTCCACTATGGCAAGGGGTTGCCCCTCTGTCCAGCTACTACACTCTGCACAGCAGATTAGGGACCTCTGTTGTCCCCTCCAGAAGGCTTCTGTTTTACTCATGCTGGTACAAAGGAGGAGAAGAAGGCATTAACTGAGAAGCAAGCGAGGTCAAAGGTGGGTGTCTTCAACCAGTTGAATGATCAAACTGTGCTGCAAGCTAAATTCAGGCTGGTGTAAGAGATCCCTCAAACTACCTCACTTTTCCTGTTGCTGCACAGGCAAACAAAGCCTAAGGCCTCTGTTGCTGAGGAACAGACAATACAGTATTGCTTATACCTCTGCTGTACTAATTATTTTTCCCCAGCTGCTGCAGAAAACATCTGCCCTGTGATGATAGTCCAGGTTGCTGTATCATCAGACAAGGTATCAGGAAAAGCCAGCTCTCTTCCCATCTCTGAACATCTCAGAGAGATATAAAGAAGTTCAGCCAGGAGAAGAGCTCCTATGGTGAGTGTTACAATGTTGGCTTATGGATTTTCCACCATGCCTGGGAGGAGGAGGAAAAGCTTATCCTTGCCTCAGAGGAACAAGGAAAGCACTGTGTGTGAGGGGATGCAGCAGCTGGTGGGAAGCAAGAACAGAGGCTTGATAAAACATGAGAGATGCTTTACTCTGCTGGATGCTGTACCCAGTCCTCTGTTACATGAGGAGAGAGCTTTGTCCCCCCACAGCCAGCACTGAGAGTACTCCTGGGCCAGGCTCTTGGCCAGCTGAGCACTGACCCTCAGTCATTTACTCCTGTGGTGTTTCCCTTCTCTGCTCTGTTGCCCTGAGGCACAGAGGCACCAGCCACTGTACAGGCAAAGGCTTCTTCAAGGTTGGCTTCACTAATATTTTAAGCCAGATGTGGGTCATGGCGCCTGGGGACTGTATTAAAGCTGCTTTTTTTTCCTCCTAATCTATCAGAAGACTTTGCCAAGGTATCTTCAAATGCAGCAGAAATGCCTGTTATTCTTGGGCTTTCCTGGTGTCCTTAGCTCCTATAAATTACAGGAAGGGTGACCAACACAGAATGTGTATTATCTTCTAAAGGAGGCTTTTTATTATTACAGTGCCAAACAAGGAGAAAGCATGAAAAGAGCAAAGCAGGCAGTGACTATTATTTGAGTTGTTGTGCTCTTCAAGGCTTGAAAAGGGCTGCTCTGAGCTGTTGTCAAATAACCCTTGCTTTTGGTGTGGCTGGGTGGCTACTCCCCAGTACAGGGCTGCTGGGCTGAATCCAGCCCTAAGGCTTTGAGAACAGGGCTACTGCAAAGAGTGACACACAGCTTTTTTCTACATGGCAATATCAAGACAGGAGTAGTGTTAAAAAAAAAAAAAACAACCAAAACAGGTCAGAGTATTTCTATTTAAAGTACTTGTCAAGAAATAAAAAGGTGCAACTTGATTTTTCTGGTTTGCATTTCAACTTTTGGGAGGACAGGATTTGAGAACTGAACTGGCAGCCTCAAGTCCAGGTCACTCTTGATGGGGTGAGGCTGTCCAAGGCCACCCTGTGATACCACCTGCAGCCCAGACACTTGCAGGCACCTGTGCCTGGAGCTCCTGCTTCCTGGGGAGTAATAGGACACACAGGAAAATGTTTGCAATAGGTAAAAAAAATCCTCTCACAGTCTTGGCTTTGTTGGGGCTAAATATCTGCCAGGCTGTTCTGGAATAAAATAAAGCACAGTATCAGATCAAATTCACTAAGAGCAAAATCCTATTAACTGTGCATTTTCTCACATACATAGGCTAGTCATGGGGTCCTCTGTAACAGTGGTCTCTTTCTGCAAAGCAGATCTTATTTTACATTCTTGGGGCCAGATACTCAGATGATGTAAGTAACTATATCTGCAAGCTGTAGCCACCCTGAATTACACCAGCTACAATGCTGACCCACTGTTAATTGCACACATTACAATTCTCTGGAATTTCTCTTGCCACAGACTGCAGTAAAAAAGCATTTTCTGATGGTGAAAGGTCAGTAAACATATCTGAGTTTAAACAATCTCTTTGTGATTATGGTTATGCTTTAAGAATGATTTTGTCCTTCCACAAACATACATGTTCTGTCTGGAAATTTTGAGCAAAATGTTTGTGTACAAGGACTACACATAAAACAACAAATAATTTCCACTTTTAAACACAATTGCTATTCCTGAGTTTAAACTTATCTGCATGTGATTCATCCTCCTAGGATTTGCTGATGATTGCTTGCCTGTTTCCTTTACTTATGGGTTGTAAGACCATCCCCAGGGTGATGACTGTTAATTTCAAATGTAGCCTGGTTTAACTAGCCCTGTTACTCAGCAACCCTTAGACAGACAGAACTAGATTTCTGAGCTTGCTTTTCCTCAAGTCAGCTGCAATCAGGCTGAAGGTGAAGAGTCTGTAATCACTGAAGTGCGATAGCAGTTTAAAGGCCTGTGCCTATGTCCTCCCTGGAGCTGGATGGTTTGGCATGGAAGACCAGTCCCTGGTGGCAGGAGGGGCTACCAGCCACTCCAGCTTGTATGGAAGAACTCATCTCCCTAGCTTGAACTGCTCTGGTTTTTCATAAAATCATTGTTCCAACCTCATGCTGTTCTTGGGAGAAATGCTGAACCAGCAGTCTCAGGAGCACAGACTTGTGTCTCCCCACAAGGGGCAGGAGCAGGACAAGCACCCTTGGCCCACCTGGCCTGGCTGATTTGTCCTGCAGACAGACAGTGTGGGTCACCCTCCAGACTGTTTTCTGTGAAGAGCTACACAGCAGCCTGTAGCAGTGGCAGGCAGTCCAGGAGGAGACTGGCAGTACACTTGAGCTCTTCTGAGCCATTAGGATACTCTGTGCCTTTGGTGTCTCCTCTTTGTCTGCCAGGAATGTCCCTTCCATTTATGTCTTTTTGTCCCAGAGACATGTGGGAGAGGCTCAGACAGAGACCCTGTGTATGAGAGACACCATCCCATCTAAACCTTCATCTGCCCAGCCATGTAAACATTATGAAACTATTAATATCCTGTGTTCCTTCCACCCTTCATGCCCACCCTGTTAAAGTACCAGTGTCTTTCTACATAGCCCAGAGACTGCTCCAGACCTACGGAAGCCATGCATAAAAATAACCTGTCAGGCAGTGTGCTGTGCAATGATCTCAGGCCTTGGAGCCGGGGCTGTCATTTTACTTGACACAAGACTGTTTCCCTTACTCTGACCTTACCTGTGAGCACGTTCAGTAATCACCAAAAATCTCCTGCACACATCCAAGTGGGTGGCAGAAGCGTAAGGTACGCTCACACACACACACACACACACACACACACACACACACACACACACATACACACACACACACACATTCATCAGTCCTCATATAGAAAAAAAAGCTAAAATCAGCAGTAGACTTTACTGCTTAATATTTCTGCCCTGGATTTCTAACTTAATGGTATGTAATGAAAAGTGACTTTGCAAGGGAGAAGGAAAATAATTAGATCCCTTCAGTTTTTGCATCTAAATTGATGCACACTATAAACAAATATCAGTCTAAGAGCTCCATAGGCATCTTCAATTTCAGAGACACTTTATATTTTACAAATGACAGAATCTAGTCTAGATTTTCATCGCAAGTATTAGCACTGATATCTTACTAACCCTCAATTTAGTTGCATAACAGAATAAATGTAATATTCTCTTTCCCTGTATTGAATTTTAGCCCTTCCATCATGCTGCAAAGAGGTATGATTTATTTGTCCTTGTAAGAACCCATAATTAAAGTACACATTGATTACACAATGTCTGACATAGCTACAGACTCTGTGCACTGCAAGTGGGTTTTGAATCTAGCAAATGTGACACAGCTGAGACTGCATATGGTTTGGTGTTACATGGGAGGAATATATGGGAGTTACTTGGAAGCAGAAATCAGATTAAAGGAAAGAATTGTCATTTTTTACTTTCCTAAATATGACACAAATAAGGTTGTATGCAGATTTTCTGCATTAATCAAGGAAAAGGATTATGAATGCTTCCTCTAAGTGATGGCATTATTAAATACTCATTTGACATGTGAGAAGCTTTATTCTGTGATTTAAAAAACAATGACATAGTTATTAGGCCAAACAGACCTGAATTACTTGACATGTTAGAGTACATGTGAATTTAGATCATTCATTGACAGATAAATAGCTATGAATTCCTTTTTTGAATAAAGTTTCAAAAAATACCAAAGAATGTAATCAATTTAATACCAGGAATAACCCATAAATAAAGCAGACATAGTATTCATTCAGGCACTGTAAACACTTTGAATATGGAAATGTATTTTAGCCTCAGACTTCCATGAATTCCTTACATAAGGTGGGGAGAAAATGGCTGTAAAATGTCAGCTATCTTGATGGTCTTTTTATTAGGCAATGAAGTAACTTGAATCCGGTTTTCATTGGATCTGGATTTACCTGTGTCACAAGAAATGATGGAAAGACTTTGCTGTGAGTTATTAAAAAATGTAGAGGCTGAATTTAGTCCTTTCCCTGTCCAACACTTGCTGAGCCTTTGTTAGCCAGCATTGTTCACATCTGCTTACAGGGAGCACACTGAGGAGCATGTGATCCAGCTGTTGCTATGGTATCTGGAGGGATTTTAAGAAAATAACAGAAGAAAACGTGTCAAGAAAAGAACCACTCCAACTAACACCTGAGTTAAAGGGACATTGCCAAAAATTATGTGTTGAACATACTTAACCTTTATCTGTTATGTTTTTTTTCTTTTTTTTTTTTTTTTCTGAAGAAGTTGAGTATTTAGCACTCCAGTGAGAATTAAGAGCACCTGGAGTGTCTGGGGGCTCAGAATATCAATACCAATAACAGTCATGTGATTTATTTTTATATGTCTCATTAATTCAGCAGAACATCTGCTCTGAAGTGAGCTCTTAAAATATTGAGTAAGCCCAGCTTATCATCAGTGCAAGAGCACAGATACCAGTTTCTTACAGAAATCAATGTGTAGATGAGGATACAACAGCCAGCACCTTGAACCAACCTTTCCTTGCCTCCTGCTCATTCCTGCCAGACTACAGACAATATAATGACATCACAATATTGTTCCCCAGATACTTTCCAAAGCAATATCTCTTGCACTGGTATCCTGCTGCTGCATTATACCTACTGCCCATCAGAAAAACTGACATATGGAATGAGGTACTGGTTTTCCATCTTCTTCAAGCAGAGGTTTTCCAAGAGCTGTCCAATAAGCAGTGAGGTGTTTGGGGTGTTTGGCTGAGTTGAATATTCAGCCTTTTTGTGAGACAGATAACAATTTGGAGCCTGCAAAGCCTAAGGAGAGTGGGCTTTCCCCTCATTTCTGCTGGTACTTCCCTGAAGTGGGTTGGTCAGAAATACTGGGATTACTGTTCTGGCTTTCTTGCATGACTGTGGCCAGCCAGGCTCAGCCTGTGATAATCAGTTTTGTAAAAACAAGGTGCTGCAGATGGAGTATCCTTTGCTCCAGGCCCTGGAAGACATCCATGGATAAGAGAATACCTCTTTGAGATGACATTATATTTGGTCATAAAGTGGTTGTGAAGCAGCTGCCCTTGCTCCTGGGGAAGTTTACCCTTCCTGACTTCCCATCCTTAAAGACTCAAGAACTATTTAATTAAATTAATGCCCAGGCATTAATTTACAGTCACCCAACATGCTCCAAGGTGGAGGGACTCTGAGGCAAAAGCCCAAGAGAGATCAGAACAACAAGCACTGAGGAAGCTCAGTCTGCCATGGTGTTCTACCCACTTGCTTGAGGAGCCTCTAAAGCTCCTCACTGGAGTCTGTCCTTTCCCTCTGCAATGATGTGGCTGTGGGTGGCCATAGCTGTCTCCAGAAGAGCCTCTGCCCTGACCAGTTCTTGTGAGCCACTGTACTGAGGGGTGCCAGCACCCTCCCATCAGGGAAGAGCCAAAGTTTGAGGTTTCATCTAGTTGTGCATGAAGGTTCAAGTGAGGGTGATTTTTTCCTGATGCTTCCTCCATTTCTAGCATTAGCCTAATGATGATAACCTCTGAGAACCATTACCATGGCTTCTGTGTAGCTGCAGAACTACTGTGTGCTCCTTGCAAAGACAGAGGACCAGACATAGTGCTAATGATAGAACAATGCACACTGTCTTGAATGAAAATGATCAAATAATCTGCTTTCCTGTCTTGAACACAGATAGTTTGCTCTGCCAAAGCTAGGAGAGGGCTTAAAATCTAATTTCTGCTCCCTAGTTGCTTTTGATTATAGACTTCATGAATTAATCAGGAGAATACTTGGTGTAGTAGGTGGAGACATGAGAGGCTGTTTATGTTCAGCAGGAACACAAAATGCTTTGTAGAACTGATCTATAAAACAAAGACTTGGAAGAATTGTATGCAGTTTAATACCTCACTTATACAACTTGATGATAAAATATGTATAATCCAATATTATATGGCTTTTTTCCCCTGACGGGATATTAATAATTGAAGATTCTTTTTCAACCACAAACCTCTTGTCATAACCCAGTCAAATTTTATCATCTTAGAATGTTCTACCCTGCAAACTAAAGTAGGAGACATTGCACTCTGCATTAGTGGTCCTGCTATGCATACATGAGAGAACAGCAGGGCTGGGTTAAGAGGTGGCTCTCAGGTGCTTCCAAGATATTCCTTAGAATGGGCTTTGAAACTCTATATGCTAATTTCACAGCAAAAGTTATACTGTAACTTCTCTTAACACAGAAAGAGGCAGTTCATGGAAACACTCCTCAATTCAGCAGTACCAACAAGCTGCCTTATCAAAATGCTGATAAAGAAGCAAAACAGCAATGAAGTTTCTGAACTTCTGCTAAGGGGTTGTGCGGTGCAGTGCTGAGCAGGGGCAGCAGCAGGCAGGAAGCTGCAGTCTGGGGCACTGCTGCTTACATCGGGTCTGCCCCTCACTCTTCCCTGAACCACTCAACCCCTCTCCCACCGAGCCTGGCCCTTAACTCTTGTTTACAAGCTTCTTCCTGTGGATTCCAAATCAATAATACTGATGCCTGTAATTTACCTGTTTTTGATTATTTTTGGTCATCTACAGCAAAATGGCAGCCTTTCTTCAGAAAAGGAGAACTCTGAGAGGGACATCACAGGATGTGGGAATTTGTGCCTAATATCCACGTATCTTTCTTTTTTATAAGGAAGCTATTCAGTCCCACTGTCTACTGGCATCTCAAATGACTATTTCCAGTCCATTTTTTTCCCTTTTTCTATGTAGTTTTGCATCTTTGCCTTGGCTTTCTTACCTTTGAACCAGCAGAAGTGCTTTTCAATAAAAAAGCTATTTAAGCCAAAAGAATATACCCTACCTTCTACTTCTGTACATCCTATGGACTTCTCATCTTCCCACATCCTTTGCCTTTCTGTGCTCTTATAGTGCTCAGCCTGTGTACTGGTGTGATCTCACCTCTGCTACAGTTAGTAATGTTCTCCTATCCCTTGAAATCCCATTTCCCTCCATTCCCTAGCTGCCAGCTCTCTATTTCCTGCATATGCAGTAGACTCCAATTATACATATATATTGAGTCAATCAGCTCTTGAGTGGCTGCTCAGCTGCAGAGATCTCAGTACCTCTATATTCCAAAGGGCATGTGGAATAGAAACCCATTGACACGGGAGAATTTGAAGGTGCAGACTGGCATGAGCGAACTAGTTACAGGTGACATTGTGCATGACCTGTATATCCCCAAATATATTCTTGTCTATATTAAATTCCAACTCATTTGGAGACTGAGCATATTACTCTCAAGAAACAATTTGCTCGGAAAATATAATTTGTATTCTTGGTGGTTTAGAGACTATTGCTCAGTTATATTAAATTATTTCCTTTGTTACATTTTTATTAAGATGCTCGGTGTCTTAAATATGAGGTAGGCTCCCAGGAATTAAAGATTAACACCACCACCATTTCTCTGGAGATTTCAGAACATGAAAGGGCAAACTGCTGGTGTACAGAAGGCAAACTCCTGTTGTGGCAATGTGTTCACAGCTGTTATGAAGGGAGGCAAAGCCTTGCAAAATTAGGTCAATAAACCAGACAGTAAATCAAGATTACTTACAAGTCATGACCAGTGGGACTACATTAAAATGTTATCTGTAAAATGTATGTCAGCCATAGATGAAATAAGTTTTGGCTCAGAAAGGCAGGTGGGAGCAGATCAATTTAATCTGTTGAGAAGCAAGGAAGAAACACTGAATATTGATACTTTGGGAACTGTCTATGAACAGTGAGAATGTGAGGTACAACAAAGTGTAGTAGCAACACATAGAAGGTTGTGTTTAAAATTCAAATGCAACACACAAAAATGAAGTTTTTCAAATAGTAGTTCTTCTGGAGAATCCCAATCTCTTTTGCTTACCCCATGTTTTACACTCTGGAGAGCTCATTTTGTATTTCGTTTGCCAAATGTTGCCCAATGAAGAAGCAATACAGAGGGCAGGTAATACTAAGAAATGATTCTGAGTATGATGGTAGGGAAGTCAACTTTCTTGGATCTTTGTATGAATTTTGCATATGGTTTTCAGAATTAGGTCTACTGAACATGTTATTTTTGTTAAGAACTTAAATTTCAATTAGTACTATTTACATTAATTGTTAAATAGAGAAATTGTAAAGTTAGTAAGTTTAATTATTTTGTTTATAAATACTCTAAACAGGCCTGAAATCTGGTAACTGACTGCAGTGATTTACTTGAAAAGTGGGCAGTTGGCTGGTGTATAAGAAGCAAATGTGCCTTCCCAGTAACTGCTAACCTCCCTGGAAAGCTGTAACTGTTGCTGTTTCACAGGGAGATACTCTGGATACAAAGAAGAAAGTGTTAAATGGCTTTGTTCCAAGCACACCTGGTAGTGGCTTTATTATCACCTAACTATACTTTTTGTTAGACAGCGTTTTTAAGGAGCAGTAAAGACCAATATAATTGGAAAATCAGACAAGTTTTCTTGAAGTCTAGAATAAAAGGTGCTGCCCTCGACACTAAACTCAGGTTGAGAACAATTGCTGTGATTTTAATTTCTAAGTCCCTGTAAGATTCTTTCTTTGAAGTTCCCTTAAGATTCACAGCTCCCAAAGAGAGAACTAATTTAAGCTCCAAATTTGGGTGTCTGCCTGATTTTTCTGCATGCAACAGTTTTCCTTCCGGGCAGCTGTTTTAATCTGCAGGCATTAATAGTACACATGACATGCTGTTTTATAAAGAACACTTATTGTACAGCGCTTAAGGTATAAACTCAACTGACAAAGCAGTGCTGTGGTGTCAACCCCAAAGAACTCAGGCACCTTTAAAACTTACAGCCTATGGCTATGAATAAACTGTTTGCTGGGCCTGAGTTCAGGCTTGTTCCCACTCTACCTGCTATGGGAAACGACAGGCATCCACAGAAACAAGACCAAACTGGAAGAAGCACAAATTAGAAAAGGAGGGATGTGCCAGTGAGTTCTCTAACCTGTTTCTTCCCCAGAGGGGACTTGAAATGCACTACCATGGAGAGTTCACTACTCTGTAAATACTGAAATTTCAAAGATGTGTTGCCCTCGGTTACTGGAAACTCCTTCTAAAGCAAAGAAATTATCCATTTTAAAAGCATTAACACTGGCAGATCCAAGTTTTTTGATTAAATAGTGACAGCCCAAAATATTTCTCTGAGTGGCACCAGTTCCATCCTGTCCTTCAAAGGAATAGCAAAATACCATTATTAGAATTACACATTTAGGCCTCAGGCTGCACTCAGTCCTTATAAAAGGTACTCAAACTTCATCTCTCTTGAAGCAGTGGATGATAAAAAGAGAAACATGAAGGAAAGGGAAAAGAAAAGAGCTCTACCAAATGAGAAAATACATATTAGACTTTGTTTCTCATGAGAATGTGGTCTGCCAGGTTGGTATACGTGCTGGTGTTCAAACACAGATTTGCTCATTTAGAGTTCAGGCTGTAAGAGAGCACTTAGCTAACAGATGTTTCTGAATGTAAAAGGGCACTATTGTCTGTAGGACTTGCATGCTTCAATGGTATCTAGCCATTAAAATCAAATTATAGAATCCGGGAGAACCAGACCTCATGTAGTAACATCTGTTGGATCCAGAAGTGAGGCAAGAGCCACTTATAATC